TACACCCAAGAGCTCCTCCAGGGCAGAGGCCGTGTCTGATTCATATCTGCATCCCTCCTGCCCAACCACTGTGCTCAATAAATGTTTGATGAATGACTGAAGGAAAGAATGTTCATCATTGGAAAATTGCTCATCAGAGCCCTGTACATCAGCGTTGCTGAGAGATGTTTTCATCAAATGTAGTTTCTCAGTATCAGTATCTGATGCTGTTCTGATTCATCCTGAAGCACTGGAAATTCAGAAGAGCTTGCAGGGGTTAGAGGAAAGGCATTTTATTTGTTAAACAGAAAATCAGGCTATGAGATGGAACACTAAGATATGCAAATACTATCTTCTTTGTAGGAGAAACTGGGAGAATCACACTAGATTATTTTGGAATTAATTCAGCCTAAATGTGTGTGGAGTTTAAATGCAGCCCTCAGGAGAGTAAATAATGCAGAATGTGAAAGTGAGGAGATTTGAAATGCACCAGTAAAATCTTTCAGGCCAACTTCTGGACCAGAACATTTTAGTTGGTAGAATCCCCTTGTAATTTGTAAAGATTAAAACCTGTTGCAAGAAAATTAGCCCAGACCATAATTTTAATCATTTAAGAGGCTCCCAAGCTTCCTCTGGCCTCATCAACAGTAGCTCCTAAACAGTAAGGGCTTGAGGACAGATTTCAGGATACTTGATAAATATTGATCATTTTGCATGAAACAAAAATTTCACAAGCATTAATTTTTAAATATCAAGTGAGAGTGGCTGCTCTGGGTTTGCAAATTAGGGATTCAAAAATATTATTTCCAAACAGTTCCCTTGGTAGAAGGATCAAAGAGGTGATGCCAGAGTGCCCTGGGAGTTCTAATTAGATTTATGTATAAGGAGCGAAAAACTGCCCAGTCCCCAGGGCTGCACATGCTAACATGGCCTGCTTTTGTCACGGTGTCCCTTCAAGCATGAGTGTGTGGGGCTGCCTGTTCAAGGCTGTGTGTGTGTTGAGATGAGTGAAGGACGGAGCTGGATTTTGGAGGAATATTCCTTTCTCTGCCCAAGTCAGAAAAGGGCAGATGAGATGAGGGCCAGCTGGGGCACCAAGGCCTCTGGATCTTGACATGGGTGGGAAGGCCATCTGTCTGCGAGGGCTGGAAAGGAGCTGGACGTGCCTGTGTACAGGGCTGGGATGTCGAAGCAGCCCAAGTTCAGATTCAAACTGCATGAGGCTAGGCTCAGAGAGGCCGAGGCCCCACATACAGTCTGAGCTCTACTCCCCTGGTGATTCTGGAGCTTCTGGGAGGAGCAAGGACTTGGAAGGGGCCAGGGAGCTCACTTCAGTTCAGTTCAGGGGCACTCATAGCCAGTGACACAGTTTCCAGAGAGGCAGGTGCCTGCCTGGGCCCTGATTTCTCGATGGTATTCCAGGGCAACCTGGGTCCTCTCCTCCTCCCTCTCCCAGTGAGTTGAAGCAGTGTGCCTGCCCATCCCAGGATGCCCAGCCACACCTGCCCGCTTGTTTGGTCCACCCCACCAAACGCTGGGCTCCTGGGGGCAGCCTCAGATTCTGTCCTGACAGATCGTGAGGGCCAGGCAGGGTCCTGAAGACCCAGGGTCAAGGAGGAGAAGGAGGAGGAGGAAGGAATGTCTAAACTTTCAAACTGCATCTCAGCCTCTGGTAACTCCCTTGCCTGCCTCTTTCCCCCTTCTAGAATTTCTCCTCGCCATTTAGCTCCACAATTCCAGCCACAGGGGGCTTTCAAAACCCAGACCTAACACACCAGTTCCCCGCATGAAGCCTCACCTTCCATGGGACCAGGTCCAGGCCCCTCTGCCCCTCAGACGCATCCCCAGCTGTGCCCCATGATGCCCGCCAGGATCCAGACACATGCACCATCTGCAACATCCTGCACATGGCTTGGGTTTGGTGCCTTCAGCTTGCATCTATGCCATTCCTTCTCCCTGGAATGCCCCCTCTCAACTCCTATATGGAGCAAACTCTTATACCATCTACAAGAGCCAAGTTATATACTATCTCTTCTGAAAAGCCACCAGCCCTGCCCCAACCCCCATCTTCCTGCATGGTGTCATACAACTCCCAGGATGAAATTGAAAGCAGGGGTGAAGCAGAGTGACTGGAGGCAGCACAGAACAGCCTGATGTGAGCCCTGACAAGACCCTCCAGATGGTACAGTCCCCATCTCACCCAGCCAAGTCAGCAACATTCACCTCCATGTGCCAATGTACCCATTTTTCTCTGTTGCCTCCAGCCTGTGAGTCTAGTTTGCATCTAACCTGAGCTGGGAGACAACAGCCACTTCACCATCAAGCCCACAGCTAGCATTCCTCCCTGGCCACATCTCCAGGGCTCCTTCTGCCTTATAATTTAAAGGTGGACAGAAAGTCCATATAGTCAAAGCTATGGTTTTTCTAGTAGTCATGTACAAATGAGAGTTGGACTATAAAGAAGGCTGAGCATTGAAGAATTGATGCTTTCGAATGGTGCTGGAGAAGACTCTTGAGAGTCCTTTGGACAGCAAGGAGATCAAACCAGTCAGTTGTAAAGGAAATCAACCCTGAATATTCATTGAAAGGACTGATGCTGAAGCTGAAGCTCCAATACTTTGGCCACCTGATGGAAGGAGCCAACTCATTGGTAAAGGTCCTGATTTGGGGAAAGATTGAAGGCAGGAGGAGAAGGGGGGCAACAGAGGATGAGGTGGTTGGATGGCATCACCAATTCAATGGACATGAGTTTGAGCAAGCTCTGGGAGATGGTGAAGGACAGGGAAGCCTGGCGTGCTGCAGTCTGTGGGGTCGCAAAGAGTCAGACAGGACTGAGCAACTGAATAACAACAAGAGGGGAGACGCAGCCCTGAGCTGTGTCACTCTGGGCCAGAAGCCTGGCAGAGGAACATGATAAAGCCTTCCACTGGGCATAGTGTGGGGTCAAACAGGCCACAGTTGGGGCACGTGGGCTCCACCAGGAGAGAGGGAGGTGGGAGGAAGACGTGTCCTCTGTTCTAAGCCTCAGCCCTGACCCTGACCTTCTTCTAGGGGCCACTTCCAACATCCTCACACACTTACAGATAGAAAAGAGAATCTGAAGTAGTTCAGGAGTAATGATAATAACCAGTTTGGCCACCTGATTCGAAGAGCTGACTCATTGGAAAAGACCCTGGTGCTGGGAAAGATTGAGGGCAGGAGGAGAAGGGGACGACAGAGGATGAGATGGTTGGATGGTATCACCGACTCGATGGACATGGGTTTGGGTGGACTCCGGGAATTGGTGATGGACAGGGAGGCCTGGCGTGCTGTGGTTCATGGGGTCACAAAGAGTTGGACACGACTGAGCTACTGAACTGAACTGAACACCTTGGGTCTATTATTTGACATCTTTGTGCTTCATCTATGAACTTGGGCTAACGGTCCACAGCAAAATCACACACAATCACTGTGATGACTGAATGAGCCGGTATATGCCCGGCATCCAGGAAGTCTGGCACAGGGTAAACACTGTATGAACCTTAGCTAATTCTTTCTTTGGGACAGAACTTTATCATTGGCAGCACGTGTCAAAGGTCACATGGATAGGAAGGGGCAGGACCAGAGGCCCCAGTCCCTGGGCACCATTCCCTTTCACTGAACCCCACACCCTGTGCAGACCCAGCCTGGACTCTGAGCTGCATCTGACCTGCCCTTAGGTGTGTGCTGTCATTTGTCCCCTTGTGCTGCTCCCCAGCGTCTGTTTTCCTGGGGTCACAAAGTCCTGGTCTGGCCTCTCACTCCTGCTCTCCAAGTAGCCCATGAATCTATGACTTATGTTGAACTTGTTGCTGAGAGTTGACCTTCACCATCCATTTAGGACCCAACTGAGGGTCTCTCTCAGGTCTATCTGGTTCTGCACACCCAGACCACAGGTCAGAGGTGCCCTGTGCCAGAGAACCTGATGTAGCAGGACATCCCTGCCCCTCGTCCACCACTATAGGGGAGGTAACTGGATGTGAGGGCTGGAATCAAGGTTGGGCCAACCAAACACCTCCTTCCTGTGCCCGTCAGCCTCCTCCCAGGGTGGAAGCAGCTTGCTGGGAGTCTTGAGTCAGGCCCTCTGCCTCTACATCCCGTGAGTATAGGCTTTCTGTTTCTGACTTCCCCAGGAGTATCCACCACGTGCAGCCCCCAGCAACCCTGATGCTCTAAAAGAAATCCCTTACCTCCTGTGATGAGCGCTTCCCCTCCACTCCCTGGGAGGTGGATGCTCCTATCTGTGGGCAGAAATGGATCCTAACTTAGTGGATTCCCTAGGGGCTGGAGGCCTCTGGGCCAAGGCATGGGTTTTCTTCAAAGCTGGGTCATCATGGGCTGTCTCCAGCTGGCACCCAGCTCCTGGGGTATCATTTTATAACTGGGCCATTGCAGAGCAGGAAGATTAATACAGTCCTCAGAATTGATGGAGGCTTAATAAAGGAATGTTTCATGGTCACCAGTGTGCAGACTGCCCTTCATAAAGTGGTCCCCGGACACTGCCCTTTGAGGAAACCTCATTCCCCACAGAATGAGGAGGAAGGCAGAGTGGCTCACAGATCATAGATGACCCAGCACTGTCTGTACCTGCGATACTGGGGCTGCGCTTGTCAGAAGGGGCTTATGCAGAAGAAATGTGAGTTTTAGAGTCAGAGGCTCAGAGTTCAAATCCCAGCCCTGTCCCCTCACTATGTGACTTCAGGCAGGGGACTTCCAGCTCTGAGCCTGTTTCCTTATATCTAAAAGGTCAATAAAATACCACTGAAGCAACAACAATGACAACAATAATAATAAACGCCCTCAGAGCCAGTATCAGGAGTCAATGAGCTAATAATTCCAACCACCACCACCCCCCGCCCACCCCCGCTGCCCCGCACATAGTAGGTGCTCATCAAATCCTGAGGCTTGGCGCCTCTCCTCTCCTCCTCCATCCCTCCCGTCCCTCCCAGGCCTGGCCCCTCCCTTGTTTCTCTTGATGTTGCTCCTTCAGGCAGGGCTGCTACCTGAGAGAACTGCCAGTGGAGCTTCATCCTCTTGGCTTTGGCATAGCTGCACTCGACGAGCCGCGGCCGGCTGTTGACATCCACCAGGCAGCGGTTGTCGTCGTCGTCCACCGTGGGGCTCAGGATGCCCACATGGATCTGCTGGCTGCTCGTGTAGTACACGTTCTGGGGACCGGGGGTGGGGAGAACAAGGTCAAAGGTTAACAGCCAGAGAGATGGGGAAGGTCTGTGGGGCATCTCCTCGGGCACCCAGCCAAGAGAGCGCAATCCAGTGACCTTCAAATAATCGTCCATTGCAACGGACAAGAAGAGACCCTTTTACGTTACGATTCAGTACAGTGCCTGGTCAAGAGGTATAACTGATAGAAAATTATCAAGAAATCAAACTTAGCTTCACTATATGCAGCGTACTCAATTTTATACACTTTTTTCATTGAAAAACAGTGGTCACAACCTTTTAAATGGATTTCACTACCCACAGTTTAAAAAACACTGCTTGAATCTATTATTTGCAAGCTTGCTGACTTCTTCCCTCCATAAATAATTTTGTGTAAGATGCTGCACTTGACCAGGAGTTAAGGAGCAAAAGACCTGGGCCACATCTTAGGGAGCTCAGAGTTCTGTGGGAGGGGTGATATGTAATAGGCACTTTCCATCCATCCTAAGACTGTATAGAGCAGTTGGTAAACTTCTTCTTAAAGGGCCAGGTGGCAAATAAATATCTGGGGTTTTGCAGCATGCTGGGAGGTCTCCCAACCACCACCAGGTTCAGTGGTTCTCTAGGAGTCAGAAGATTCAGCGTATAGTTGCCCTCACAGCTATGATTTATTCTGGGGGAAAAGATATAAATCAAATCAGCAAAGGGAAAGGCACGTGGGCAAAGCCTGGAGGAAACCAGGTGTCAGCTCCCAAGGGTCCTTCCACAGCAGTCACAGAAGATGCCCAGGAGTCCCCAGCAAGGAGCTGAGATAACGCTTGTGAAGGGTTATCTACCAGAGAAACTCTTAGAGACTCAGCACCCAGGCTTTTTACTGGAGGCTGGTCACACAGGCAGCCTCCGCCTGGTACATACCCATCCCAGACTTCCAGCAGGAAGGCAGGTGTTCAGCATAAACCATATTAGTTGTATAATCAGTTTGGGCACAGTGAGCCGCTCTTACCATCTGTGGGAGTGGTGGGAACCTTCCTGCAATCCAAGCTCTCAGATGCCAGTCAAGGGTCAACCATGTAAGTGGGCCTTACAAAGGAAAGCAGTCACGCTGCTGTTTTAACCATTTTTTGCACAAAGGACCAAATGGTCTGGAAAATCAGCTCTGTGATTGTAGTGCAAACACTGCCATGGGCAATACAAATGAATGACTTTATTTACAGAGATTGGGGCTGACTCTGGTCTAGCAGAAAGCCATAGGACCTTGGCCTTCAAAGTTTTCAGTCACTTCCCCCAACTTTGGGCAGTGGTTCCCTACAAGAACAGTCATAGGGTTTGTGAGCTCTCGTCCTGTATCACCAAAGAAATTTAGCACCCCAACCTGTGATTAGGTCGCATGGCCAAATCAAGACACCGTACTTCTCTGCTTTAGGTTAGAATTCAGGGTAGGCCCTATTGTTATCTTGATCTATTAAAAAAAACTCTCACTGGTAAATGTCTTTGATTAATTTCAAATGGTAAAAGGAAGTATTTCTTGTGTTAGTTAAAGAAGGTGATTCTCGAGGACTTTTAAAACAGGGTGCAGAGCATGAAAGGGACTGTGTGGGGAGAAGGGCGGTGCAGATGAGGAGAGCAAATAAGGGGTGACCCTTCAGGGCCATATTATTCCTGAATTTCGACATCCAGGTAAGGGGTGGAGAGGCAGTCATTCTTCAGACGTTAAAAAGAGCCTCAGGCCAGTGATCAGCTAAGGTCCCAGCAGGAAACAGGTGGCACGCTCAGCTAGGGGAATCCAAGGAGGGTAAATACAGGCAGGGTTCTCAGTGGTGTGGTTCTAGGGGAAGGGAGCACAGGGATGCTTTCGTTCCTTGGGACAGTAACATGGAGCTGTTACCATCACCAGGCTCAAAGGGATGAGAGGAGAGAGCGGGTACCAGAATGTGTAAAAGTTACATGGAGAGACTTGGGAGAAGGGTCCAGGGAGGGAGAGGTTTGGGGTGATGGTGAGTGGTGGTTAATAACCACCCCAACATCATTCTCCCTTCCCCAGTCCACTCCTCTGCTGGGTTGGCCCATTGGAAGAACCCAGCTGGAAGTCAGACAACACAGGAGCCCATGGAAACTTCTGTAAAGTCAGCCTTGCAGGGCAGAACAGAAAGGATGGAGAGACAGATTGCAGACATTCATTACAGCTGGATTTGCTCTCCAAGGAAGTTTTATGTATCCATAGAAATGGACATCAAAACTACCAAGGTGACTGATTCTTCCCTTAAAAGAGGTAAAGGGTGACCAAAGTTCTAAGCAGAGGCCAAATGTAGAATGCTTGTCTTCAATGTAGAAATGTGACTAGAACACAGAGGCAAGGAGGCCCCAGTCAACACCTAAACCGGGTAAGAGATGGGCTTCTCATCAGAATCCTGAGACCGTCCATAAGGTGGCCTTGGTTCCCAGTTCATCATCAAGGAAAGCTGATGACCTGCTGTGGCTTCCAGTTTATTGGCATTGAGGAAGAATTTGATGACTGGTAGGATTTAGGAAATTAAATTAGATGCAGGTAGGAATCTCATCCATCCATCCAATCATCAAACAACAAGTAATCTCTAAGTTGGGTCCTGAGGGTCCAGAGTTGAGAAAGCCATGGTTCCCTGTCCTGGATGATCCAGCAGTCAAGCTGGGGAAACTAACATATCAGGAAATAGTGGTCCTAAACACATTGATATGGGAACTGTCCCCATTTCCTCCATATCTTAGCCCAACTCTTGCTATGTTGAAAATCAATATAAAAACTCACCACCTCCAGAAAGACTTCCCTCAATGTTCAAAAGCATGAGCCTGCTACCAGAGCCTCTCTGCAAAGACACACAGCTATATATATGCTCTTGGGTTGAACCCACCATACCCTCTCCTCAGGACAATGCAGCTTAGTCACACAGTAAGTCAGGACCCAAATTTCCTGAGGCTCCGGGGTGTGGGCTGCCAGACAAGGACAGCCAGGAAGGCAGTTACTGCCCCTCCTTCCTTCGTCCCTGTCACCAGGACTTGACTCTCATTTCTAGCGCGGGCTCCATAGACACAAGCAGCCGCCCAGGTAATAGCTGAAACCAGTTTTATCCACTTAGCTGCTCTGAAGTGCTTGGGGGAGATGCTCAGAGAGTCCTGTGTGCACTTACTTACTATCTGGTACAGCTGTCATCAGAGCTGTTTATTACTCCAGAGTCTGGGAAAATCATAATAAGGACAGTTGTTTGTTATTAAAAAAGCAAGCAACAAAGTGCATCTTGAGTGGGGTAGCCACCAACCGGTCAGATCACAGGGCAATTTAACAAAGAAGATTCTGTCAAGCTGTCACTTGATACCTCAAAAGCCCAACCAGCGGTGGACTGAGTCAATAAATGGCCTGAACACAGAAGAGGGAAACAGTTTTTTACAAGACACCACACATTTAGTGTCTGTAGGTCCAGGAGACCCAGCTGTGCTTCTGAGCAATGGGGAAACTGGAGATTTAACAGGAGATGACTTAGAATTGTGATTCCCAGTGGGGGGCACTTTTGCCAGCCAGAGGATATTTGGCAGTGTCTGGGGACATCTTTGGTTGCCATGATGGGGGCGGGAAAGGCTGCGACTGGCCTCTAGCGGATAGAGGTCACGATGCTGCTCAGCACGCTACGATGCACAGGGCAGCCCCCCACAGCAAAGAACTAGCCAGTCTCCAGTGTCGAGTGCCGCTATGCTTTATCCCAGTGAATCCTAGTAACAACTCCATGAGGCAGGTGTTACCATCACCCCCACCTTGTGGATGAGGAAACTGAGGGACAGAGAAATTAAGAACTTGTCCAAAGTCACACAGTAGCTGAAATCTAAACTGAGGCAGTTTGATGCCAAAGCCGTGCCTGTGACCCCTCATCTTACTCGCCTCCCTCCCTCCCTCCCATCACTCCAGCTCCAGTGACCAGGCTGGAGGGGGAGAGGCTGGCTTGGAAGCTTCCACCATGATCCTGTGAGCAAAGGGTGGGGCGGGGTGGTCCTGGATCAGGGAGCAGCCACCGGCTGGAGGATCCTTGACCTAAAGGCCTAGAATACAAGGTGCTAACCATGGGCTAAGATGGCAACAGCCCTCCTGTGACTCACATCAGAGGTGGAGGTGGAGCTGTTACCATGTCTGTGGATGATTTATGACTCCCCCTGCCTCCCGGGGCACAGATATGCACCCCTGACCCCCCAGCACCTCCTCAGCCGCAAACGACTGCTTCAGCTCACTGTCATCTCAGCAGGGCTACAAACCCAACCTGATACTGAAAGAGAAAAATCACCGGCGAGGGAAAAGGACAGACATGTGGTATGTTGGGTCTCACGCCAGGGGCGTCTTCCTGTCCTTCAGGCTGGGGTCAGGAGTCAGGACCCACAGCTGAGCTGGCCGGCCAGCCAGGGAGCCTGTAGTGACCCTCGGAGCACACTCCTGCCTTCAGGGCCACGGAGGCAAGGCTAGGCAAAGCCCCCCAGGGCGAGAGGTTCTCCTTGCTCAGTCACCTCATCTCCCAGACAAGCAAGGTAGCCCGCCCCGCGGGATGTGGCTGGGCCCCCTGCCAGCTGCGCTCAGCATCCCTTCTCTCCCTGGCAGGCTCCGAGGCGGGACCTGCCTCTGTCAGACTGAGGGGCAGCCTCACGGTATAAAAGGTCACCTCTCTGGGAGTAGAAACACTTCAGGAAGGGAAGAGTGAGACGAAAACAAACGTGTATACCTGTACCATGCCAGGTACTGTCCACACCTGAGGTCACCTTCAGCTGTAGGGGTGAAGAAGCAGGCTAAGAGAGATCTGAAGACCCTGCCAGCTACACAGGCGGATGGCTCTCCTCCCTCCGTGATGAGGGGGAGATTCCCCAGGAAGGCTGAGGCCCTGGGAGTTCAGGGCCTTCCTCCCCCTCCCCGGGCCCAGCCGCCCAAAGGGGCCTCCCATCCGCCTGGCTGGAGCTGGGGCGCCATCTCCCCCACAGCCCCGAACCCTCAGCTCAGGCAGGA